CCTTTCCTTTTTCTCTTCAAAATATGAAATTGAATAGCTCAAATTCTTCAAAATCTATATGCATGTAAAGATAAAACTCAAATACTTTAATGTTCAAAATCAAACTCAATTTGGTGATATTCTAAGATTAATTTCCATATTCATTAACCTAACTCAATTTTCTTCATCTTATTGCTAATTTTTTTTTAATTACATGAAATTGAACCCAATTACCTCTTGATTTTAGTTGCTAGATGATTTATTTACAAGATTTAGGTTTCAATTTCTTACCTAGAGTCTTGAATGGTTGAATTCCTTTTCAATTTCTTGAGTTTCCTCTCTTTTCTTCACTTAGGTGCCTTGAACCCACTTCTTCAAAGCTTTTTCCAACACAATGGTTTGAGTTCTCTCTCTCTCTCTCTCTCTCATCACCAAAACACTCCAGCTCCTCTATGATATAAACCCTTCCTCTTCACATATGAAACCATCAACCAAACAATACATATGCTCACACAAAAGTTCCATTACAACAATTAACTAGAATGTTCTCAACTCTCCTTGATTTAATTAGATGAATAGGATTAGCTTAGTTATTAATTATGTATTAACTTATTTAAACCCCACTTAGTTTTTTAAAATCTTGATTGGTACTTAATTAATCATAACTAATTACAAATCCCACATAACTTAATTAGTCGAATTAACTTCAATTACGGCCCAAATAATCATAATTAATTTTACCAATCTGAATTAGATTTTTAATCAAACTCTCAAAATGCTCCAAATATGAAATTAAATTTATTACCATCATTAATTTTAGTTTCTCAAATCACTAAGGCCTTCAATTTTAGATCAAACCCAAGATTCTTGTCAATAAATTACATATTCAAATTGGACACCTCATAAGTAAATTTAATTCGGAATAATCACAATTCTCAATCCTCATAATTGAATTAACTTAATTAACTCCAATTTGAAACCAATTAATCAAATCTGAATTTTACTAAATTGAATCGAATATTAATTAAACTCCCATATGGTTCAATATTGGGAATTAAACTAATTGAACTCACCAATTATACTCTCTTAAACTATTTAGACATTTAATTTCTAATTCCAAAATAAATCTTTATTAGAATTATATATGAATCAGGCTCCATAATTCTCATAAATCCCATATTAAACCAGAATAATGACAAATTAAAATCCAAATCTCCTTAATTAATTAAATATAAAATATTATATGTGGTGGGGCCGTCCCAAAATTTGTCACCATTTGAAATGCTAATGCTACACACTTTTAGTCACTAACAGGCCATGTGGCAACCTAACAAGACATGTGGCAACCTCCCACTGGGGTGTCATTTTTGGTACAAACATTGCCCCTATCAAGCTTTGTTCTTGAGCAAATGATGAGGCTTGATTTGATTGCCATTTCTAGAATCTTCTTGATAGCCAAACGTTTAAAGGTGAAATTCGACAAGTACTCTTGCATTCTTATTTGCCCTTTTAGATTAACTGTTGTAGACATATCAAACCTTTTGGATACCTTCTAGAGACTTGACAAATCTTTTGAGATCTTTTGCAGACTTTACACACCTTCTGAGATCTTCTAGAGACTTGACAGACCTTTTGAGATCTTCTGCATCTTTATTGGACCTTTTGAGTTTGTTCTTGCAAACTTGATAGGCCTTGATCAAGACCTTCTAAACTACCTTCTGTAGACTTGACAAAGCTTCGAAGACCTTCTACGTTCTGAATGCCTGTTGAGGTACACAAAGACCTTAGACCTTCTGAACAAAGTTCAAGTAGTCATGAACTAGCACCTAAACTTTTCTATTTTGACCTCCTTTCTCTCTACCAAGCTTGGGTGAGCTTCTTACAAGAGAATGTTGAAGTGGATAGCTAGTTCTCCTGTATGAAACTTCTAGCATACTATAAAGGAGGCTTGATCATTGTTTTAGAAGGCCTGAAATGTTGGTTAGACTTGAACTACCATTAGGCCTTCTCAGACATTCTGAAAGGCCAAAAATTCCTGCGTAAGAGGCTTGCTATACCTTAAGGCCTGTTCTTTGGGTTAGAAGGGTTGAAGTACTTGCTAGGCTTGAAATTGATGCCGGGCCTTCTTAGACATCCTAAAAGGCCAAAACTCCTTATCCGACTCCTCAAACATGAGGCAACTTGCAATTTTTCTTCAAAAAGCTGAATTTATTATAGGCAGAACTTCCTTACTTGATTTATACTCATTGCTTCCTTCAACTCCTCCTTTGAGCTTTTTGATGAATTGTTTTGAAGAATAGAGGTGTTCGTTCGGTCTATGCAACTCTTCACGTGACATGAGACTTCTTGCAATCACCTTATTGTTTTTGTATAAGTCATGTGGATAGTATTATTTTCTAATGTGCCCCACAAACCCAATGTGGGTGTAAGTTTTCATGTACTAAGCCAAAAGTTGGCATACACATGTAATGCTTTTTAGCTTTTTGAGAGATGCTGAAAAGGCCTTCATCCAACATAGGAGGAGGAAAAGACTGCTCATCACATTCTATGATATATGAAGAAAATTTATGCTCTTAACTGAAATATCAACAATTTCTTCAACATAATTTCGCCCCCATTGTGCACTTTTTAGAGGAAAATTTTATTGGATCTTCTGGTCTATATTTCGACTTACCTCAAGCTTGACTTTTGACTTGATTTCAAAGTGAACTCGATGCTCGATCTCCTATTTTACATATGTTGAGGCAAAGTCTACATCTTGCCTCCTCACTTCTGAAAATTTTGATGTAGTTAGAAGATTGTCATCATTTCCTTCTACTAGATACAAAAGATTATGGGTGGGCCTTTGACTGTAGACTTGATTGTTGGTTGGGTCGTCTTTTTCTTCTAACGACTTGTCAAGAGGATGCCCTCCGCGCTATGATCCTTGCCCCTTAGGATTGGGTTATGGAATGATAAAGCCTAATAGAATCCTAGGTGAGTTATGGAAGGATGAACTATTTCATGTTGAGCAAAGTGGTTTTGCTCTCCTAAGTGAACCATAGAAAGATTGTACAATGGATTGTGCCTCAAAATTAGCTTACCTTGGGCATTGTTGATGGGCCTTTGCTTACTTGTCTACCCATTGGCAAAACCAAATCTTCCTTCTAGTGCTATTCTAGCAAGATGCCCCCTGAGACTAAATGAATACCTCCTCGAATAGGAGTGCTGGACAAGGATCCTTGATAGTCCCCAGAAAATTGTAGATGAGCAGTGATTGGTGCATTAGACAAAATTTCTTCTGGATGTAGTCCCATTGCTCTAACTTGTGAAATAACTTATTGTGAAAACGACGGCCTCCTTTCTTCAAACATGTCCACCATCTCATTGATGACCCTTGTGAGCTCCTTCAAGGATGCAATGACTGAACAAGAAATCTCTTGACTTGCTCTTTCAAAACAGGCATTGATGCCTTTTGTTGTGTGGTGTAACTCCTAAAAGAACTCTTGCTGCCCGAAAGACGGTTTTAGTGACTTTGAACCAAAAATGTCTAATGCATTAGTATGGGGTTGGACAAACGGATGTTGCCTCCCAAGACCAGTTGCAGGAGGATTGTACAATAGGTTAGGAGGATTCTATATGTGGGCAAAAAAAATTTCTACGAGAGTCCTCTAAACTCCTAATAGTTGAATAGAAGGACCAACCATTCTTTTTGGGGTCCTCTGAATAGGATGCTTTCTGATGTATGTAACTCATCCTCTTGGAACAGGGGTGTTGGATGATGAACCCTGATCAATCGCAGAAGGAGTTAGAACATTGATCACTAGACCTTTAGGCACGGTGTCTTCTGGTTACTGTCCAATGGTTCCAAACTATCGGGTAACAGATTTATCAGATGGTTGCATTTTGTCACCAAACATGACTACCATCTTGTTAATGGTCCTCGTAAGATCTTATTGGGACTCTTCATCTCATTAAAGGATCACAAGATTGTGGGATACCCCGGGGGTACCTGAACGCGCCCGATAGTTTAAACTCTTGATCTTCGATCTAGTCTCATGAGTGCAATATGAAACATAAATGAGAGTCCAGATCTAGCAAATTTATAGAAATTCCATTAATCACAATATTTGCTAGAAATGAATTTCATCACCAGATCTCAAAATCAGCACCTAATCTTTTGGGAAAACTAAGAAACCCGTGACTGGTGCCAAAGGTCACGGTTTGTCATAACCAAAGATGCCTCGGTTCGGAACCTTAGGTATGAAGGGGGAAGGTCATGAATTAAGCACCCATGTTCACCCGATCAAAGGACCATGCTATATTAAACCATGATATGAGTTTTATGGACTATATATGCTCGTGTTCTGATAATTATTAATGCTATACTTTATTATTGGGACAAACAAGTATAGACCATGTCACTCATTTTGGAATGCTTTGATCTCATGCATTTTAAAAGAGTTTTGAAAAATGTACAAATCAAAGGAAATTGAGTTCAGAAGCATAAGAATCAACACCATTCTAACCTAAACGACACAAATTCCATCCATTGACAATCATAGAGACGAATTAATTAAGCAAGTAGCCGCATGGTAGAATACTAGACATAATAAGAAAATCATGCACATACGTAATGCTAAAACTATAAATGCTCACCTAGTATTTTCTAGCCTTCAACAAAAGAATGAACCAAAGTTAGTAAAATATGCATGATATTATGTACGTAATACTAATACAATGTATTCACACAAATGTGATTAAGGACTCAGCTACTGACACATGACATGTGGATCATCTCAAAGCATGAGGCAACGCATAAAATCACATAAGAAATGATAAGCGCACAAATGCAAATGAATCAAATCCAAATGCATGAAACATGGATGCAAGACATGGATATGATGAAAAAGAAAACATGATGCTATCAACAGTGTCTTGCCCCGGATTTACAAGGTTCGGCCCACGCAAATAAACCCATAATCGATAGATAAAAGACGCCAATAATGATAAAGAAAAGTAATAACTCTTATGCAGATGGATACAATAAGGTCACACAAGACATGTGTTCATCCAATTTCATACATCCTATGTCACGACCCTAACTTGACCCTAGAGGTTAGAGTGGTGACCGACCAGTAATCATAGATTACCTATGGCCTCAAAGACAAAATTTCAAAATATTTAAATAATATCGGGGCTTAAAGAGAAAACAAAACAAAATAATATTGTCCATTGAGCTGTGCATAAATGATAAACTGAAATATCTAAAACATTTATAATACACCTTCACATGCTCAAGACATATCTTATATACCTCGCACACATATATACATAAGACTTTTAACAAAATACAAAGCTTAGCAAGCTTGGCAAAATAAAACTAAAGCCTCAACACAGAGGCACTGCTTGGGTGGCTTGACAAAGGGGCGGACTCAGAGGCAAACTCTAATATCGATCGTCTAGTTGTTCACCTACATCTACATAAGGAAGAGGGGTGAGCTAAAGCCCAGTGAGTAATACCAAAATAAGGAGATTAATGAAGGAAGTCCAACATATTATAAAAACATGTTTTACAATTCCAAAACGAATCATTTTTCACATTCATGTCAAAACATTTGCTATAACAAAGTCTATCATCTCATAAAACATATCTTCCAATTTTCAAAACAATTCATATATCCGATCATATCAATATTTGCGATAACAATAACAGATTGAGTCATATATATGGTACATCCAATAGAGTAACAATATAACAATGTGTCGAGGCCAATAGGACCACTAAGGTCAATCCAGTGGGACCACAATGGGTCAATCAATAATCCATAATTCAATGTGGACCATTAAGGTCTAATATCAGAGATCTCTGTGTTTCAATTAATTCAATGGGTCATGGTATTGTTTCCCCCAGACGAGGGCCTATCAATTAATGGACCATGGTATTGTTTCCCCCAGGCAAGGGCCTCACAAAAGGATACCACGAATAAATTTCAAAAAGAGACATTCATTCATTCATATAAAATAACATTTCAAAATCATCATCGTGAAACAATTTTCAAAATATATTCAATGGGCGTGACTCAAATGTGACTCCTCGGATGTCCAACCTACACAAAGCATACAAACGAACATATCGAAGCACAACATTATGCGCTCGATCACATATAACTTCTCTTATTCTTTTCTCCCCAAATAAACCGAATTCTTATTACTTATTCTTACTTTATTTATTCTTTCTTTTCAAATAAACTAATTCCTCACTTTGCTTCATAATCAATTAACTTATGTTGGTTCTTAACTTATTAATCCTCAATGAGTCATAATTTATGCCTAAGAATGCTTGGGAAGATATGAGGATGAAAGTATGACAGAGATGTAATTTTTCAAAATATGCTAAAATAGCTTGACCACTCGAGCGGATTGCAGAGTCTGCAAAAAATATTAGGAGCTCGAAATGTTCGCTTGAGCGGTCTGTAAATTTATTTGGGTTTTCAAAACTAAAGATTTAGCTCCCAAACTTTATTTCAAAACTTAGGCCCATGTTTGACTCAATTTAAAGTATAATTTCATAAATAAATATGAACGCATGACTAATTTTGAAATTATAATGCAAAACCCTCATTGATTTATCAAGATTAAAACTAAAAGTTGATGAATATAATGATTCCAAAGCTTTTGTTCCTCTTCCTTACAAAATATGAAATTAGAGCTATAAAACTTTAAGAAAAACATTTTCATTTCAAAACTTGCAATTGAAGTTGTATAATTCTTAGAAAAATATTTGCATGTATGTAATTAAAATCAAGACTAACTAATTTTCCTTGTTCCAAAAATCAAATAGTAAATGTTTCAATTTAAATTGAATAAAATAAAACTCTTAAACTACATTGCATGCATGAATGAATAATCAAAATCAAACCAATTCCTAATTTTCAACTCATATTTCATGAATACATGGTTTCCAAAACTTTTCTTGAAAATCAAATGCATAATAAATTGCATGGCTTAATTCCTAAAAATTCATAATGCATGTAATTTATAAAGCTTAATTTAACTATAACTTTCAAAATCAAATCCTAAATCATGAACCCATTATTAATTCAAATCCTTTAGCTCTTTCCTCTTGTTCTTCAATACATGAAGTTAAATACATATATCCATGAAATTTATTGTATGAACTTATGAAATTTTCTGAAAATAATCAAAGATGAGCTTTTATGCATGCAATTCAAAAATTCAAATTAAAATGATGAAACTCAACATAATCTTCCATGAATATACATGTAACCCATTCCTTGCTCAACTCCCAATTTCTTTCTAATTTCATGAATGTAATCCCAAACCCTTCTCAATCTCAAGTATAATAAGAAGATCCTACATAAATCAAGCTTAAATTTCACACCTCAAAATTTTATTTCAGCAATTAGAATTGATTTCCTCTTTAGTCTTCTTATTCTTCTTTCAATTTCCAGCACAAGTGTGGGTTTCTCTCTCTAAGATGAGCTCTTCAACTCACTCTCCTACTCTCTAACTTGGACTCTCCAGCACATCTAGTAAGTGAGCCCCTTCTTGACTTTGAAAAAGTCTTCAACTAAGTGATATACACACACACTGAACACAATACATAATCCTCACTTCTTGACACCACACAAGCACACATGCACACTTCCTTGAATTCCAATGCACCACTCTCATGCACACACAGATTTCTCAGCGCGCACACACCCACATACACTCTCAAATTCTAGACCATTCTATAATTTCATTTATGATCAAGATTAATTTAATTAGGCAATACTTAGTCTTAACAAATCTTGATTAGCACATAACTTAATTAATCATAACTAATCCCAAGCTTCACATAATTTAATTAGTCTAATTTACTGCAATTGAGGCTCAATTGATTATATTTAATTTTTACCAATCTGAAACAGATTTTTAATCAAATTCCCAGAAGGCTCTAAATACCAAATTAAACTTATTTCCATCATCAATTTTGTTTCTCAAACCGCTAAGGCCTTCAATTTCAGATCAAACTCAAAAATATCTGTCAATAAATTGCATATTCAAATTGAACACTTTATAAGTAAATTTAATTTATAATAATCTCATGTTCTTCAAGACATGAAGTTAAATACATATATCCATGAATTGAGAGTATGAACTTATGGAAATTTTCTGAAAATAATCAAAGATGAGCTTTTATGCATGCAATTCAAAAATTCAAATTAAAATGATGAAACTCAACATAATCTTCCATGAATATACATGTAACCCATTCCTTGCTCAACACCTAATTTCTTTCTAATTTCATGAATATAATCCCAAACCCTTCTCAATCTCAAATATAATAAGAAGATTCTACAAAAGTCAAGCTTAAATTTCACACCTCAAACTTTAATTTCAGCAATTAGAATTGATTTCCTCTTTAGTGTTATTATTCTTCTTTCAATTTTCAGCGTAAGTGTGGGTTTCTCTCTCTAAGATGAGCTCTTCAACTCACTCTCTTTCTCTCTAACTTGGACTCTCCAGCACATCTAGTAAGTGAGCCCCTTCTTCTTGACTTTGAAAAAGTCTTCAACTAAGTCACACACACACACACACACACACACACATAGCACAATACATAAGCCTCACTTCTTGACACCACACAAGCACACGTCCACACTTCCTTGAATTCCAACACACCACTCTCATATGCACACACAAATTTCTTAGTGCACACACAGATTTCTCAACACACCCACACTCACATACGCCCTCAAATTCTAGATTATTCTACAATTCCATTTATGATCAAGATTAACTTAATTAGGCAACACTTAATCTTAATAAATCTTGATTAGCACATAACTTAATTAATCATAACTAATTACGATCTTCACATAATTTAATTAGTCTAATTGACTGCAATTGAGGCCCAATTGATTATACTCCATCCGTCCCAAAATAATGGTCTTTTTTGGGAAATTCAACTTTTTTTGATAGTACAATTATTATATTTTAAAAATATTAATTTCTCAAAATTACCCTGTGATAGTAAATTTTTTGGGGAATATTAATTGTCATAATTGTACTTTTTATGTTATTAATGAATTTAAAAGAAGGGCAAAATAATAAATTTATATTATTTTATTGCTTGATTTTTGAAAAGGGACTAATATTTTAGGATAATGAAAAATGGAATAAGGGACTAATATTTTGAGACGGAGAGAGTATTTAATTTTTACTAATCTGAATAAGATTTTTAATCAAATTCCCAAAAGGCTCTAAATGCCAAATTATACTTATTTCCATCATTAATTTTTGTTTCTCAAACCATTAAGGCCTTCAATTTCAGATAAAACTAAAAAATATCCGTCAATAAATTGCACATTCAAATTGAACACTTTATAAGCAAATTTAATTCATAGTAATCTCAATTCTTAATTTTCATAACTTAATTGACTTAATTAACTCCAATTTGAACTCAATTAATCAAATCTCAATTTTTACTGAATTGAATCAAAGTTGAATCGAATATTTAATTAAACTTCATATGGTTCCAATACTCGAAATTAAACTGATTCAACTCATCAATTTTACCTCTTTAAGACATTTGGAAGTTCAATTTCTAATTCCAAAAGAAATCCTTAATAAAATCATAAACGAATCAGACTTCATAATATTTTTAAATCCCAAATTAAATTAGAACAATGACTAATTAAAATCTAAATTTCTTTAGTTATGAAAAGTGTAAAATATTATACATAGAGGAGTCGCTACATCCTACATACAACATCTAAGTCGAATGGATGTTATTACATAAAGTTATGCAATGATATCATATAGAAATGATTCGCTCGCAGGCTTACATCACATACAAGGGTGTAACCTTTACAAAAATGGCACACGACCTAATAAATAAAACAAATGGTCCAGGGCTTACAAATAATTGAACCGCATTACACAGCTCCAATCACAACTCCAATGTCTCATTCCACATTCATACAAGCAATACACCTGAAAAATATTTTCAGTCACGCAGTGTAACGACCCAAACCCGACCCTATAGGTTTAGCGCCGTAATCGGCCAGTAATCCGAGGATTACCAAAAGCCTTTGATCTGAATATTTTATAACATAAGGGGCTACGGAAGTAAATATACAAAATACAACGTCCATTGAGCTGTGTAGACATACATGAGACAAAAATTTTAAAACTTATATACATACACGTGACGTCATAATTACAGTAGTCTTATATCACATTCATTACAGATATAACCAAAACGGGACTGAGACCAAAATACAAATAAACAGAAAACTTGTTCATATTCCAAAAAGAAAACAAAGTCCTATATGTTCACAAAACATGATCACATGACTTTCGGAACCTTCTCGGGAGGCACAAGGGTTGGCCCACAAAACAGAACTCCAGGGGATTACCATTAAGCTTGGCCACGTGCATGATCACCTACATACATAAGTAATAGAGTAAGCAGAAGCCCAGTGAGTAATAATAGACTAAAGGGTTTTAATTGAATGATGTCTCATATCAAATTCAGAAATTAGAATTTCGATTTATATTCTTGTTCAAATCATGTATAGAAATCAGAGTTCATGCTTAATCATACGTGATACATTCATTAGCGCTAACAGAACAGATATAGAGCAAATACAAAGCAGAGAGTGCTTATGAGTAACCAATTCCATAAAGGCACCTCCGGATCTGGGTAATGGATGACAGATACGCTGAGCCCCATGATGGAGCCTCTGGTACGGGTAACAAATAACAGACATACTAAGTTCCATGATAGAACCTTCGATACCGAGTAACAGCTAACATATATCACACGATGCTAAGGATCCCACGAATACATGTCGGAAATTAGACAATTATTCATTGTACTGAACATAACATTTCAGAAAACATATCTTATTTCATCATATAAAAAATAAATAAAGTTGAACATAGCTTTACTAAGTTATTACTCATAGATGGCTCCAAAGCAGACAGACAAAGAAAATAAATTAGTTAACTTGCGGCACGTGACCATAAACATAACAGACACACACATTGAAACACACACTCAGATAGTACTTAACTTATTGTGTTTCGTTCTTAGTGTGTTTCTCAGTCCTCTCCTTATTATTATGTCTTCATTAGGGCTTAAGAATGCCTAAGATGCAATGAGGATGCCAAAACATGTTGTTTAACACTTAGTTAAATTTGCTGAAAATAGGGTCCTCGCTCGAGCGTAGCTTCCCTTGCTCAAGCAGAGGGTCAAAAATAAGAGTGGTCGCTTGAGCGCAACTTCCGTTGCCTGAACGGTGAATAAACTCTGCAAAAGTACTGGTTGCTTGATTTTTTCGCTCGACACACGCTTGATGGTCGCTTGAGCGTGAGACTGAGGTCTTTGCTCGAGCGCAACTCTGGTCACTTGAGCGGTTTGCAAAACTTGTAAACTTCTGGGAGCATGAATTTTAACGTCGAGCCAACTTTTGGTCGCTCAAGTGAAAGTGCAATATAAAGAATGGTCGCTCGAGTGCAGGTTCTGTCACTTGAGCAGTGAGATAGAATTCTGGAATTTTCAGATTTGCTCCCAAGCTTCAAAACTCGAATTCAAAGTTACACAACAGGTCCTTTTCAGCTAAAAGCTTGAGAAAACACTTGTAAACTTGTAAAACATTGTGAATTCAAAATCATTTTGCAAAATCAAAGCCCAATAGCAAGTCAATTATTCAAACCAACTTTGAAACTTATATGTATATGACAAGTGTGCAATGCTATGAACTCAAACTTGTCCAAAACATGATCAATTTAGATAAAATGGTGTAGAATAAGATGAATTCCGAAAAATAAGTTAGAACAAGGGCATGCATGTGAGAATTTCTTAGAAATCAAACTCAACATATGAGGAAATGAACATACATGTATGATTTAATTTCTAATTCACCTCTCAAAGCTTATTTCTTGTTCTAATTCCTCTTGAATTCATGTGTTAAGTCTCAATTACACAAGTAAAGGTTGAAATACTTACCTAAACTCTTTAATTAGGTTCTAGATTACTGTCTTTAAGCTTCCAAGCCAATTCCCTTTAATTCTCTAGCAAATTCCTTCCAACCTCAAGTTTTGATCTCAAACCCTCTTGGTCTCTTCTTCCTCTCTCTCACGCTTTGTTTGTAGGCTCAACAATGATGAAGAACAGGTGACTCATGTGGTGCGTAAGCCTTGTATAGGCTTGATTAGGGAATTAATGAAACTTAACTTAAGCCAATCAAATTGACATTAATTATTCTAATTTTATTCGTTCCGAATCAAATTTCAATTAAACCTACCTTAATTTTCAAAAAAAAAAAATCTAAATAACACATATACTATGTCAAATTCATGTTCGGATGCCGATAAGGCCTTCAAGTCACAGAACAAAACAGAAAGACAAACAAATATTCCTACAACAGACAGATATAAACACAAATAATGCAATTCACATCCAATTAATTTAGAATTGCATTTTAATTACTTATTAGGCACATTTAATCATGGTTTATCGGCTAACTATAGGTCGGGGTTGTTACAGTCTTCCCCCCTTAAAGAGTTTGATCCTCCAAACTTGAATTGGCTTCGTTTTGGAAGAATATCGGATCCAAAGGGAATAAATCAGGGTATCTCTTCTTCATATCGTCTTCAGTTTGCCAAGTTGCATAAGTCCCTCTGTGGTTTTGCTAATCAACTGTCACTGATGGTATTTCTTTGTTCCTCAATCTTTTGATTCTGCGATTCACAATCTGAATTGGCCTCTCCTCGTACGTATAATCATCTTTCAGAAGCATATGGGTCGGCTCAATCACATGGAGTGGATCTCATAAATATTCCCGAAGCATTGAAACATGAAAAACATTATGCATATGTTCCATGACTGGCGGTAAAGCTACCCGATACGTCACCAGATTGATCTTCTCAAGGATTTCATATGGTTCAACATATCTCGGTGCCAATTTTCCTTTCACACCAAACCGATTTTGCCCTTTCATTGGAGTCACTTTGATAAACACGTGATCCCCGACTTCATATTCTCTGTCTCTTCGTCAGACATCTGCATAACTCTTTTGGCAACTTTGTGTAGTTTTTGATCTCTATTGAATCAATTTCACATTTTCAGTCGTCTCTTGTACCAGTTCTGGTCCCAACAAAGGTTTATCACCTACTTTGGCCTAACAGATCGGAGAATGGCATTTTTTACCATACAGAGCTTCATAAGGAGCCATCTCAATACTTGAGTGATAACTGTTGTTATACACAAATTCAGTCAATGGTAAGTAGGTCACCCAACCGCCTTGTAAATCTAAGGCACACATTCTGAGCATATCTTCCAAAGTTTGTATCGTTCTTTTTGATTGGCCGTCTGTTTGTGAGTGATATGCACTGTTCAGTCTTAACTCAGTTCCCAAAGCTTGCTGTAGACTCTGCCAGAATCTCGAAGTAAACTTGGGATCTCTGTCAGACACTATGGAAACTGGAACTCCATGCAATTTCACAATCTCATTGACATACAAGTTGGCCAACTTATCCGCATTATACAAAGATTTGACAGGAAAAAAGTGGGCATATTTAGTTAAACGATCAACAATGACCCAAATAGAATCCATACCTCAGGAGGAGCGAGGCAGCC